CCCCTGTGCTCAGACACGTGTACAAATATATATATATATATATATATATATATATATATATATATATATATATATATATATATATATATATATATATATATATATATATATATATATATATATATATATATATATATATATATATATATATATATATATATATATATATATATATATATATATATATATATATATATATATATATATATATATATATATATATATATATATATATATATATATATATATATATATATATATATATATATATGTAAGTGTATATAAATTTTAAAAGTATTTTCTATACGTTCATATTCAATCATGAACATTCGTAACAAAATTTTTAATTTCGTACTGATCATCCATAAGAGAGTCTAGACTAGTCCATAAACAAAAAAAAACAAGAACAAAATTCCAAGAATATTTACTATGGGAATAGACTGAATTTTGTAATTTTGTTTAAGGATCATGCTTACAGCAAATAAGATCGATGAGACGTTCTTTTCAACTTATGGATGATTAAGTTGCCTGAAATGGTAAAATGAAAAATAAATTAGCAACACCTTATGTTTGATTAATAAATATAGTAAATAATTAAATTGTATAAGTTACGTGTAAGAATTTTTTGGATCGATAATGTATATAACTTAAATACTTTCGTAATGAATTGCATTAGGCATCGTACATGATGTTATAATTAGTATCCTTCAATAAAATATAAATTCAATTGATCAATATTGCTAAAACAAAGTTAATCCAAGTTCATTTCTGTCCCCATTGTTAAAGAATACGATGGGTATTTGCCAATATATATCCACATTAATTTGGTGGCAGATATATACAATTGTGTTAGCATTTGTAGTTGCCAAATTGTTTGCCCCCTGCTTTATTTTTGCTAGGGAAGTTGTGGGGATCTTGGGTAGGGAATATAATAAATTATGAAAATTCTCTCATTTAATATTTTAAAACCCATGATGTCAAATATTATATATCCATTGCAACTATATAACATGTAGCTTTCATGTTATTTAATATTATAGTATTTTTTTTAACGTTTAAGAGATTATTTCTAAATATCTTTTGTTATGACACGATATCTTTTATACATTTTATATGTTAAAGATGGTACAAATAAACAGGGACAGAGCCACCTTGTAGTCAGGGTAACCTCCTGTAATGAAATATTATATTATTTGTACATTATTAGAACTGTTTTATTTATATATTATATATAAAATATGTCGAATTTTCATTAGCTAGTTCGTAACTCAAAAATTTTGATTTCGCCGGGGTAAATAAAGCAACACTATAGTTTTCGGTAAAGTGAGGACCCTTGCATGTCTGAAATCTGATATATGAATCCACTCTAATTTGGCGATGGAATAAACAGAACAAGGACTATCAAAAAATCACATGAGATTCTTTGCGCCTCAAATTTTAAGTAAGATTATTTTTCCCTTTTGTGTCCTGGCTCTTGTGGTCTCTCCGTAAAATTTTATATTTTTATATTTTCTAAAATTGATATATTATCATCTGTTGGTATATATGTTATAAGAAGGCTAAATGACATACTTGATTCCTACTTCATGCTTTTTTTTAGTGGTGCGCTTATGTTCTAAAATTTTTGGATGTGTCTCTAATACTAAATAATAAGAGTATTGTATGTACTCACTTTGTTTATTTTTACTTGTCCAATAATGACTTGATATACCTCTTAAGGAATAATATATAACAAGAGTGATAGTTTTACAATATCACCTTTCAATACCTACAATAAATTCATTGTTTTGATAAATGCATTGAAAAATGCTATAATTAATAATAAGGAAAAATTAGGAACTAAGAATAAATTCTCTCTCAAATTTTTTGACATTTATTTTTAATATGTTGGACAAATTAAAATGAATGGAATGATTATATCAACAAACAAATATTGGAGTAGTTTTTTACATTTTAGAACTAGTCAAAAGTTAATATCAAACAATCTAAGTTCATATGTTTTATATCAACAAGACGAATTATATGTATATTTTTAAAAATCTTTAAGTCTCGTGCAAATTAAACAAGTGAAATGAGTTGTTCTTTTTAAAATAATGGAACTAAGCATACTTGCTAAGACTTCAACTAACACCATTATTATAATTATTAATAATATAATAATAATATGGTCAGATTGTGATGTACAAACCTTAAGACTTAAGATTATCATGACAACGCAGGGATCAGGAGTTGTTATGATTAATAATTTCTCCAATCCTTTTTATTTGTGTTTAATTAATGAGTGTATGTCTTTTTGGGGCAGTAAGCGTGGGTAAAAATTGGGAGAACAAAAATAATAAAGAGAAAGCATGACTCGCTTATTAGGCTTTACGTATTTTCTTTTCTATGACTCCGTATGTTGATATTTAAATCGAACAAGTGTCACAAATTTGAATAATAACAACTTACAAAATTGAGGAAACGAATATGAGGCTAATAGTCCAGTTGAGTATGGGCCATTCGGGTCGATGCTTTCATTACGTAAAATATTTGTCAATATTACTAGCCTGTTAATCAGAAAGCACACAACATAATTTTTATGATACAGTTTTATTTGAATTTAATTTTTTTTGTCCAAAACGTTTAATATTGGGCTTTTTTTTAGAGCAACTTTCACATATAGCAAACATAAAAATTAGATTTGTATGTTATATCTATAGTTTGTATATTTGCGCTTCATAGCAAATTTTATGTTTGCTATGGAGCTTTTGATTTGTATAATTCGCTACAAACATCCAATTTTATACAAATTGTTCTATTTTGTATAAATTCATTTATACATTGTAATTTGTATAATAAGATCGGTATTTGTATATTATAAGTGTATAGGACGAAAATATATGTATTTGTATTTGTATATACACTTTTCTCTCGATTTATACAAACAAAAACACAATTTTATACCGAAATGTATAAAATGACTAATTGTATACCCAATCAGATGGCAAAAAAAGGGGATGTTTGCTGCGAATTACAATTAAAATAAACTATGGCTATAGCATTTAATTTGAATTAATAGTTTGCTATTTCATACAATTTTCCCTTTTTTTGTGGATTAAATCTTTTGAGTTTCAATTAAGACGTATAAATGTATATAATGCAACATCAAGAGTTACTATTAAATCATGTTGAGATGGCTGAGTTGGTCTAAGGCGTCAGATAAAGGTTCTGGTCCGAAAGGCCGTGTGTTCATATCCCACTCTGAACAATTTTTTTATTATTTTGAGTTTTTGGTAATTTATTCAATATTATTTTTTTATGAATAATGTATAATTAATTACCTATCGAATTTATTTTGATTAGATAAGTGTTATTGCTGCTCTTTTTTTTAAGTCAATAAAATGTGATAGCTAGGTAGCAACTTTTGATGATAGCTTTGAGAAATGGATGGACATAGAGCTGATGTTCCACTTAATTTAATTAAACAGCAAGTTTATTGAACGTAAATTTATGCACTTTGCCTACGAAGTGAAAAACAGCATCTGATTCATGTTCCCAGGAGAAAGGATTTAAAGATGAATAAAAGTACCTTTATATTCCCCTATTTGCTTTTTTTGCACTGACAATACAAGCATTGGATACTAAGGAGACGTTTCGATGTTCTAATTTAAAGAAATTGTATGTACCATTTCAAATTGCATGGTCAAATGATCCTAATCTTTGTAAAGCATTTTACACACTTGATTTTTAACGAGATGTTATGTAGTTCTTCCATGTGTTACACATTTTAATTGACTATAATTTTACTGATAATACGTATAATATATCGATATTGCTTACATAAAATTATATTATATGCGCGGTGCTTTCAACTCAAGAGTGTTGAGCAATTTGTGTCCAGAAATTCAATCATCTGATCTCTAGCTGATGCAAAATAGCTGCACCTAACTTATGGCCTCTACATAAATATGTGATCATCAAATCAAATTCTATGTCACTTCCCAACTGTCTTGAGTAAATTCTTATAATAAAGTCATGCATGCTATATATTAGCTGCTAGCCTCACATAATTTTAGAGTTATAAAATGGTTAGGAAGCTTCTCTTTATACTTCCCCATACTTTATATCTCATCATCATGCTAGTTGCTTCCTCTTCCTCTTCCACTTCCTCAAATTATTTATCGTAATTTTTAAAAATAGTTAATTTCTTCTTAATCAGTCAAAATTCAAAAACAATGTTATATTTCTATATTTAATAACAATTTAATTTTAAAATCCTCATTTTATCATTAATGGATGATTTATAGTTACATAAACATTTTAAACTTATTTCAGAACATAAATTTTGAAAAAATATTTAAATTGAATTTTGTGTCAAGTCAAATGACGTCACATAAATTGATATGGCGAAAGTTCTATCTAATTGACCTCGGTCAAGTTTAGGGTAGGCTTTAGGTACTCTACCCAAATTATTTATAATAATTATTCTTGAAAATTATAAATATATTTTTTAAAAATACGATAAATAATTTGAGACGAGAAAATACTTATTATGCATCTCCCCCACACCCAACTTCCCCTTTGTCGACTCTGTCAAGCTACATACAAACAACCACATCCCATTAATGTTTTCAAACCACCTTCTCATTCTTTCTACTCTCCTCCATCCTAATCATCTGATTGCAAGTATTGTCACTTTAAGAGAACAAAAAGAGACACTAAATATTTTTGTCTAATTTCACCCTTAGCTTACTACTACAAGAAACATAAATATTCATTAATATGTAATTCAAGGAAGAAATTAACTAACAAGGGTAATTTAATCAACTATATACCTTACTGTCATATCAAAGAATATTCTTAATGTTTGTGCTAAAACATCAAATGACATGTCAAAAAGACTAAGGGTCTTACTTTTTTCCCACACTTCTATTTGTCCACTTTCCTTTAAAATTAAATACTCATTCTAAATCATTTTTGAAGTCTATTATATAAGATTAGAAACTAATTAATATGAATACTAAGATAAAATATGTACTTACTTTCTTAAGAGAGTATGCAAAGTCCAGCATAAACAAGTAAAAGTTACAAGTTTAGATTTTTGGGATGAAACAAATAAAAACCACATTTGTATGTCAAACATAGAACTTAGAAAAAGAAATGGCACCAAAAAGGAAAAATTAGGTAGGAAGATTATTTAATGTGGAAAATAAAAGGTCTTTAAAGCTTATCTAGCTAGTCCTTTTAATTTATTGACAACACTAGCTAGCTTAAAGGATTAAATATATTAATTATCAAGGATGATTATGGTCTTGAGTGTAGATGTAATCAAGATGAGCTTCTGCAACTACCCTTCTCTTCATGCATTCTCCATCTTCTTCAACACATTCTTCCAACCCCATAAGCTTCTACAAATTAAGAAAACAAAAATATAAGAGTCAAATAATTAATGATTTTGTTAATATAATGGACCATATAAATTAAAGACCAATTCACAAGTTTAAAAGTTAGTTCATGTGAGAATTTGGCCAATCCCATAAAAGGTTTGATTCAAAACAGATAATATTATATTGTAACTAAATCTTTATCTATATATCATGATTTAACAAAAAAATAAAATTAAACCTTTGAACCTAACTCAATCGCAAAACTGAAAGTCATGTAATAAAATAACTAACATGTTGTGAATCTATTTATAAGAAACATAAGAAATAAAGACAAAAAATAATTATAAGAAGTTTACATTTAGGCTATCGTTGGTTTCCATGTGGTCAACTGAATATAACGGAAAGTTGACTTTCCCATGCTTTACATACTCTTTCACTGCAACAAAAACTTAATTTTATCATATACATACGTGCAAAAAAAAAATAAGAGAGTATAGATTATATGATTAAATATACATTTTTTGATAAAAGGGATTGCTCAGACGATAAACAGTGTTCATCAACCTCCACACCCTAAAATAATGAGTTCGAGTCCGAGAAAGAGCATTAGATTGTGCTAGCTATAGTTAATTACCTTCACTTCTGGTTGATAAGAAATAACGTGAAGATGATGCTGGTGAAAGGAAGACAAAGAGGAAGATGATGAGAAATACAAGAAAACATGATATGCTTAATTGCTTCATCATGAGTATGATAAGTAGTACTACAAATTATAGCTTTGTTAATTTTAGGTTTGAAAAATTGAGAGAAAGATATAGTATAAATTGAGGGGTTGTGGAAAGAAAACGTGTCTTGTATATATAACATGCAAAAAGGCGCACTATTAATCCTTTCATGGAATTGCAATCACATAACTCGTTGGTGGAATCAGAATTTTCGATAAAGGATTTAAATACAAAAAAATAAACATAAAAAGTCAAAAGGAAAATCAACATCTATTGTATAAGTAATATAATATTCTATCGAAGAAAATTTAAATGAACCTCTGAACCTTTACTAACTCCGCCTGCCTAGAATATATACTTACTTTATACTACTCTATAAGATAATTAATCTTGGTCCCACCCACCCATCATCTACCTTTTTTTACATGCCATGCATTCTCATGTGACCAACACTCAACTTTAATTTGTATAGTGGTCCAAGTAGTAGAGTAAACATTTAAAGAGTCTAAAATTCAATGTGGTAATATAGTGGTTGACAGCATCAAAAAGTCAACCTTTTGGACACAATTTACATCACTAGCTACTTATCTTTTCTCCTTTTCCACTCTTTATTAATCATCAGGTACATATGAACTATAAAGTACGCTAGTTCGATTAATTGAAATTTATGATGAATAAACTTAAAATCTATAAGAAATAAAAAATCATATATAATATAAAAAAATTAAAATTTCTAAAAATTGATAAATCTTAATCATCCCATCAAGGCTATATTTAATTTGTTTTACTGAACAAACATTTTGAGTAAGGCTTTAACTATATCTCCAGACATGTTTCAGAAATGTTTATAATAAATAAAAAGGTATCTGGATGAATTCGTATCGAGAAGTTCTACATTGGAAATAAAGTCCTCCATAACAAAGACGACTTCGTACTTAGAGAAATTCAAACTCAAAACTTTTAATTAAAGATAAAAAAGTAATTACCATTGTACCGCAATCTTTGTTGGTTATACACATAATTTATTCTTACAACAAACTGTGATAAGATACTAAAATCCACTGTCTTGGGAATCGCTATTTCTTTCATTCTAGCTGCCATTTGCAGTTTTCTTAAATGTATTTTGTTGACATAATGGAAGGAGATGAGATACTTCTTTGTATGAAAGTTGTAGACATTTTTTTCCTTTAGATAAATTAAAAGAAGAAAAGTTAGAACAGGAAAATGTTAGGAAATTGCTGCCCTCTAGCTACAGCCACTACTATTTAAAGCGCACGTAAATTCGCTCTTACACAATAATTCGTAAATTATATAGAATATGTAAATCGTGAAGTCAATAATATAAGCTTGATTGAAAAGTATCGACGTGAAAATCAATTGTTAGCCTTTCATATGCAATATCATCTGCTACACCAATTCAATTATTCTCACGAGTCATAAAAAGTGTTGTTGCAAAGTAGCAACTTTTCAATTCAACCGCATAGATTCGTTATATGATATTGCGAATATAATGCGATTTGATAAGGTTTTATCTTCTTCCTTTCGAGAATACGTAACATCGTTATCTCATAATTTCCTAGGACAAAACTAATTCAATTTTAAAATATTAGACTTTCCCTTATAGTGATGGGGTCTAAACTAGAGGCTTGTATTCGTAATTTTTGTTCCGTACCCAATAAAAAATTACTAATTAATATCTACAAATACTTAATTGTGAATTTTATTATTATTATAGTGTTAACTTGATATCGATATTGAAACTCATAAATTTCAAAGTCCATACGTCATAAGCCATATAAATGACATACAATGAGGTTAACTTTCATCATACCCAAAAAATGATCTACTAGCATTATGTAATTTCGAGTGTAAGTTTCATGTACATATTTTCCACTAGTGTAAAAAGTATTTTAACAATCATGTTAGTTAGAAGGTAATTACCGTTTATCCTCTAAAATGTGATATAACAATAATTTCAGTGTAATCTTATAAGTGAAGTCTGTAAAAAAGAATATGAAACTATTTCCGATAAATCGGAGAAAGTACTTCAAAGGAGTTTGTGTAAATAAGACCACCAAATAGAAGAGGGAATATTCTTGACTTCCAAGGGGGAAGCTTCATTAAAAAAATACTTTGCCCCTGAAAACAAATCTAATCTCCCAAATGATTTTGATGCTTTTATCTTTTCACTTTTTTTTCTTTTATTTTATGGATTAATTAAAGGTGTCTTTGTTTCTTCATATTGTGACTTGTGAGTGCCTTCCAGACATAGTGCCACTATAGTTTATGTTTGTTAAAGACTAGACATTACAAATTTAAGTCACTTCTATATTTGGGCTTTACAACAGAATCCCTACTTTGTTTAGCACTAACTGTATTTTGCTTGGACAAGTGTTAAGGATTTGACATCTTTGGCATCAAAATTAGATCTTCTAAAGATTTCAAATGTTTTATAATCCCAACCATATAGCATCTAATCAATCATATTATTTTATAACCAATAGTTCAAGATTTATTCTTGCATATCACATATATCTTGCAATTTTTGTAGCTTTAATTCAGATAATTAGATTGAATAGTATGAAGTCGTATTGATTTGTCACAACTTGCATGATTATTTTTTTCCTCTTCTTGGTTTGTAATTTTGATGTTATGATGGTTCGATATGATTTGTGAATAATCCAACATGATAATTAGATTAATCATAGCATAAAGTCATACCGATCTTTCATATGCCACACTTTTGAAAAATAACTTGTTGTTTCCTCTTCTTTGTTAGTAGCGTATAAGGGTCAGCTTGGATTGACTTAAAAAAATAGCTTTTAAGTCAAAAATAAAAAGTCAAACTGAAGTGACTTTTAAGCCAAAAAATAAAAAGTAGGGGGAGACCTACTTTTGATTTTTGATTTATTTTAAGTCATTTTAAACTTATTTTAAGACATTCTTGACCTTGCCAAACACTTCTCAACTTATTTTAAGTCGTTTTTTGAGTTATTTTTTTATATTTGTCAAACACTTTCAGAAGTCAAAAATTGATTTAAAAGTAGGTTTGACCAACTTTTAAGCCAATCCAAACACCCTCTAAATTATGACGATCATGTATGGTTTATGAGTAATCAACTGGATAATTAGGTTATGTATACCATGAAATTATATCGATTTGTCATGTGTGTGTCGCATTCACCAATTTGCTTGCAACACATAATGTTTCCTCAGGCCCATCCCATTTTGACATTAATGGACTAGAGCTTGTTGTTGGCCCAATTAGATATTGATCATGTGGGCTAAAGCCCAATTAGATGTTGATCTAATTACTCCTAAGGGGGAACCTTCTTGGGCCATGAAGGAAAACCACTGTGAATATTGGCCCAAATACAAGTGTATTTGATGGTTGGACAGTAGAAAATAATAATAATATTATAATTTGAGTAAATCATAACAAACATAAAAATCATATTTGTATGTTATAACTATAGTTTGTATAATTGCGCTCCATAACAAATTTTATGTTTGCTATGATTATTAATATGTATATTTCGGTATACATATACAAAAGAATCAATTGTATAATATGTGTTTGTATAAAGTGAGCAATTGTATAATCTGTGTTTGTATAAAGCGAGAAAAAGAGAAAGACAAGAAAACTGGGGAGGGAAAGATCTGTATTTGTATAATTATAAGTGTATACGACGAAAATATGTGTATTTGTATTTGTAATATACAATTTTCTCTCGCTTTATACAAACACAAACACAATTTATGCATTTGTGTTTGCATAAAGTGAGAATGGCGAGCCACGAGTGAGATTTAGGAGCGTGGCAAGCGTGATTCTCTAGGGAGAGAGGCGAACGAAAAGATATGTCTATATACAGTTTTCTCTCGCTTTATACAAACACAATATAATTTATACATTTGTGTTTGTATAAAGTGAGAGGCGAGAGAGACTGTCGAGCGAGATCAGGAGAGTGGCGAGTGAGATTCGCTGAGGAGAGAGGCGAATGCCAACTATTTAATATGGGTTACAATTAAATAAAATTGTGGTTATAACATTTAATTTGAATTAATAGTTTGTTATTTTATACAGTTTTCTCTTATAATTACCCCATCAAACTTATACCCTTTTTTGAAGTAGACACCTTAAGTTTGCAGGGGTCCTATTACCCCACGAAACTATTTTTCACCATGATAAATACACCCTTTTAACCCATTTTCAAATCATGTGCGATCTCAAGTTTGAGCGACGCGTAAATGAGGCAAAATTAACCCCTAAACTAGTGTTTTAGTGCCACATGGCATCAACAATTTAAAATTTATTTTCTTTATTAAATAGACCACTTTCCATCTTCCACAAACCTCCATTGATGGCCATTGAAGAGTTCTCCATTTGCAGCCCAAAAAAAATTCTATTATGTCAATTCAATTATAAACCTCCGTGAGATGCAATATGAACTTCTGGAGTTTGGCGAGTTCCCAAAAAGTCCCTTTTCTATATCAACCAAAAAAGTCTGTTTACAAATTTACTGCTTCTTCCTCTAAGTACCCAACAATCTGATTAGTCAATTTTGGGGACGCCAAATAGGAATGAGTAGAAAAATACACCTTGGACAACAAAGACTAATGCATGTTCGTACCATTTAGAGTTCCATAAACTGATAGATCGATGAAGGTCATGAGATGCATCTGTTCGTCTTGCTTCTTCGAAGAGGGTTTTGATCACATTGAGCACATAGTGCTTACTTAACTTGATCACATTCTTGTGTATCCATAAACAAAGAAGATGCCATTTGAGCTGCCACTATGAAGTTCTCCAATGATGGAGCTTCTTCTATCAACCACTGTTAAAGTTCTATGAACATCTGCAATGGAATTTCTAAAATTTTCCAATGATCGAGAATGTTCTTCTTCGTCATGATTTATGTACAAAATGTTTAAGATAAAAAAGAGAATCTGTCAAGATTTTGAGTGGGTCTGGATTTTACCCAACCCTTTATTAAAGGAGCAGGAAAAAATAAAAATACATTATTTTATTTGGGGTGAGACACACTCGCTGACAATGAGATTGGAGGTGTTGTTAAAATGGTGTATTTATTGTGATTGGAAATAATTTCGTGGGGTAATAGGACTTTCACAAACTTAAGGTGTCTACTTCAAAAAATGATATAAGTTTAATGGGGTAATAATGTA